TGTTTATACAAATTCGGGGGTAATTGTTCGTAATAATATTGAAGGATCAGGGGTAATTAGTTAATTTTGTTGGGTAAGATTTGAGGGTAATTGTTCGTAATAATATTGAAGGAGGTTTTATTCAGGAGTAATTGGGTAATTTTGTTGGTAATATTCGAGGGTAAGATTGGGGTAACCTATGATTTAAGCTGTTTATGGAAAATGGCGCCATGCGCTCGGTTATGTAACTACTCCTGTTGTTACGTTATGCTAGCCTGTATTGGCGGCGGCACCGCTTATAACTTGTAACTAATTCTTCTTGGGAAAAAATGCCTAAAAATCGTTCGTACCTTTCGCCACTGGATGAGATTTCATCACACTATTCACTTCATACAATCATAGCGATTGATGTCGAGTTGAATGCCATGCAGTGGTTGCAGGAAATAAAGGTTTTATTTAAGGTTTTCATACTTCATAGTGAACTTGCTGAATATTTTATAATTCGTACAGAACGCTTTTAGCTATTCAAAGCTGGAATTTTCTAATGTAAAGTAAATTATGTACGTAATATCGAAACAATGATTAAACATCCTTCTCAACCCTGAAGCCTGACTAAACGAGAGAACTACCGTCGGTATATTTTCTAGATGATCATCTCAACAAGGGCACTGTTAAAATTAAAATGCAATATTAATTAAAATGTACATTCTTATTCTTAAGTAAAATTTAACGTACTAGGTTAAATAACATATTTTATTTCACAATTCTCTTCTCCCTTCCCGCAAAAATATCAGAATCTGGTACTATGCTGGCACGAATATTATCGTGGATACGCGCACGGGCTTCGTTATAAAAAACGAATTATATATATTTCCGGCGCCTGAGCTAAATTCACAGACCTTGAGATACAGTATAAAAATATATAGCCTTGATATATGTATATATAAATAACTTAACACCTATTCACCTACATAGACTTGATACACATTTTTTAATGCAGATTGGATTGAATAGACAGATATTAGTGTGGAAATGAGAGTATTGAGTTTTCGAAGGGGGTTGCATACGGATCACAACATAACACACAAAATTCACTACAAAAAGTTCTATAAATTAAAAATGAACTTTTTCTAGTTTTTATCCTCAATCAGAATAATTATTAAGATCAGAATATTATCAATCAGAATAATCAGAATAATAATCAATCGGAATATTAATAATCCCCAATCAGAATAATTATTAAACTATTTTTCTAAGAAAAAGGTTAACAATATATTCATCACGCTTCATGTAGAAAAAATTGGGATTTTTGCCTCCCACATGCTAACGAAATAATTAATTGCGTAAATTGAAATTAACAGAAATACTAGCAAATAAAGCCAGCATTGGTAGAGAGGTGGAGTGTTTGGCAAGCAAATTAAACAGGCGGGCTGCCAATGTTCCGTAGCAAGGAAATAATTATGATAATTTAAACAACAGTCGTAATAACCACTGTTAATTGGTGAAGAGATTATGATGAATAAACAGAGAGAAAGCAAA